GAGATCACGGCAAATAAAAAAACCTTGTTATCATTAGAAACAGTGAACCCACATCATAAATGTAACCATTAACATATACAGATATCCAAGCGGCTTTGAAATCTCCAAAGTCTCTTAGCATATCATCAAAGATAGCGAAAGAAAAGTTAAGGGGTAACTTGGATTTACGGGTAACTCGAATTTTTTATTGTCATATATAATTCCACAACACCTCCAAAATATTTTCTTAAATTTCCAAGTTGATCCAAGTAATAGTTTCGGGTATACAGCCTTGAGAAGTTGTGCGCTCGAGGCTAGCTTGGCTAAGCGCGGCGTCTTTAAAAGCGTTTTTCTGGAAACGTGTTTTTGAAGTCGGTTGACAAGATTTCTCGAGAACTACTCAATCAATCTTCATGAAATTTTACACATGGCTTTGAGAAATAATTCTTAAAGACTGAGATAAAGGATTTTTTTTTCAATTACAGTTAATTGAAACAAGTTTTTTTTTCCTTCGGCAAAGTTCTAAGTTAGGGTTTTAACTAAAACACGTATTTTTACTTTAGATGATCCTATACGGCATTATCTTGCCAACGCGGGCGCATCTTTTTTTTCGAGAGGTCACCGGAAATGGCGTCGTAATAGCCGAGTTTAAAAAATGTTTTTCTAAAAATTTCAGAATTTCTTTGTTAATAGTGCATGCTTGCAACAATAAAAATATTGAAAAAAGCCCCGAGGAGACTCAGGCAACCACTTAATATCTGAATGAAAATAGCAAAAGACATTTTGATATTCCTGATAATTGGAAAGCAGATGAACTAGCCGGTGCCACCACCATACAATTAGACTCCGAAAGAAGGGAATATATATGCCTCCGTCTACTTTTAATTCAGATATTCAATCTAAAAATATGTTATAGACACTGCCAAGTCTGGGTGAAGTCAATCCCTAACATGCCCCACAAACAGACAATGTCTTGAATGGTATATGAACCGTCCATGCTGGCTATTAAAATTCAAAGGGGAAGATATAACAACTCTTGTAGAAATACTATGGGGAACACCATGGAATGACTTTTGTGGAAGCTGTCAACAGGTAAAAGAAGAAGAGACTAGAATATCTATAAATGCAACGCTTTGTTTAGGAAAAGGATCACAACCGATAGTTGGAGGATTCTTGACAATATCTCCGAAGTTGCACATATAAAATTTTTTATATTGATTGACTTCTTTATGAGCACAGGGTGTCCTCTGAACCACCCACATAGCAGAGTGAGGTCGGTTTCGACATACCTACCTAGACACATTCTACCCTTTCCTCTTATTTCAGTTATTTATTCTATAATATTTTTCTGACACGCTTTGACCTTTTAAAAATAGGATTTAAAAAAAATAAAAACTTTTTGAAAAAGGCTATCCTTATTTAAGAGGGGTTTTCGCATATGAAATGTTCTCGTTTCCAGAAGTAGAAGTAGAAGTTTTCGTGGTATATCTTCTATTTCATCATCTGAATCCGATTACACATCTTCTGCTTCATCTTTTTTCAACGAACGTCAAGAGAGCTCACCTCATTTCGAATTTGCCAGAAAAATTTGAATTTACTCTTCTTAGCAATAAAGCAGTTGCGTGCGTGAACAGTTGGTACCAACCTTTTTTTCCGTATGAAAATATGGAAGTTTAAGACATCATTGTGCTGCAAAACTTTTTTTTTTTTTTTTTTTGTTTTCGAATATCATTCGAGGTTGAGGAATGCTGATTATTTTTTTCATTTTGCGGATATATGGAAGCTTTTGCATTGCCTCAGTTCCGATGAAGTTTGAAGCGAGTATCACTTCGGAATTGTCCTGCCAGCCGCAGGCAGCTATCTTGTTGGTGTTTTCTAAGGACGTTTAGTCTTACACTTTTTTTTTTTTTTGATAGTATATTGTTCGCTACTATCATAAAATGATCTCACAGTGCAGAAAAATATACTTATAGCGAATTAGTTTCCCTCTTATGAACATTTTGCAGTTGTGGCGCCCGAAATACGGACATCAATCAATAAATGAGCTGCAAAAATCCCAACTTTCCTGCAATTCTTGTTTAATAAATGCATCAGATATCGAACTTTATCAAATTTGTCTAAATTGTCTATGCTAATATTGTCTATCAGATACAATCTCGATTTAAGTGTCTGGAAAGAGTGTCGGTCATTGGTTGTCTCACGATAGCCAGCCCAATATACTGAGCTAAGCCGATCTAAGGAAGTGTATGGTAGTCATGTGTGGTCGAGTAATAACAAAAATGGTATTTTTTGGTGAATGTAGATGTTCGAGTTCGAAACGATCGTGCTGATGATTTCGTCGTCCAAAAACATCCGAAACAGTTCAGTAGAGTTTTGTCAACTGAAAAGAAAGGCATTGGAAATGAAGTATTCATTTGCGAAGAAAAAGTTTTTATCAAAGTTCAATTTATGTATATTTCTTAATGCTAGCCACTTTAATATTAAATTTCGATATTCATACTAAACAACAATATTTTCCTCTTTCCATGGGATTTAACAACAATTATTTTATATCTCATAGTAAGAAATCGTTAATATGACCTTTCAAGTTACAATCATTGAAATTTGCCAGCAACGACATCTATTGGCAAAGTTGAACTGCTAACACGAACATAATGTAAACACAGTTAGAGCTTTCAAGGCTTTACAGGCCTGGTCGAAAGCTTTTATGTTAGTAAACCCGTAACTCAGTGATAAAGCTCACTCACTTATAGGCGTTATTATAACACACTCCAATTGTGTTGCATAAAATTTTGTTCGTCAAGTGATTTGTACCGCTAATAAGAATACAAATCTTACTTCGACATAATAATCGAAAATATGCTAGCTTTTTACTACATTGACGAAATTTTACTGATTTGAGAACAGAACAACAAAGACGGTACTGGTTAGCAATTGTTAAATGCCCAATTTTATTTAATTTGTTAAGGAACTTCAAAAAACCTTTAAGAACTTGAAAAATTGTTGCATAAAGTTAAGTGGGTTAAAAAGCTTTCAGCAAACCTGTTCAATTAAATAGACAACTTAGTAAAAGTAATATATAAAGCTTCCTTATTGTTACTCACTTTCTCTGACATATTCCCTCTGGAGCTCATTTATCAAGCGTCATCAGCTTGCTTACAACCATATTTCCACCCCGACGTGCGTCAGTCACGTTGTGTCATTGAGAAAAGTAGCCCGCTTATCACAGTATCGCTTACCAAATAAATGTATATATGTATATATGTACATATAATAAGGCATTGGTGGTATTTGTGTGAATTTGTCTACAACAAAACCTCTCACGGTTATTTTTGAAACCTCGCTCTTAGCAGAGAGTAAAACACGTGAAGCTTTGCGAGAAATTGGCTTATAAAGCTCGCAACTTTTTTTAACATTTCGATTAAACTCATTCAGTTATCTTACATCCCTCTCTTTGATGACTCTCTTTGTCACAGTATTAGAGATATAACCTGTGACATATATTGAAGAATTGAAAAGCAAGGCCTAAGTGTGACCGAAACCAAATTTCTAGCTAATAGGTTGTCAAAAAAGTCTTGCGGTATTATTTATTTATTTTTTTTTTTATTTTATAACGGTTTGATGACTCATGCCCAGCTCTTGACCGATACTACGGCTGCTACTATGCCGATCTCTTTCGAGCAATTCAGCGATTTTATCGCAATTTTCGACAACAGGCCTTCCGGAGCGTGGCGCATCTTCGACCACCTCTACACCAGAACGAAAACGTTGAAACCATCGTTGTGCGGTGGAAATGGAAACTGTATCGGGTCCATAAACTGCACAAATTTTATTGGCGGCTTGAGATGCATTTTTGCCTTTATCGTAGTAGTACTGTAAAATATGCCGTATTTTCTCTTTATTTTGCTCCATGTTTGCAACGCTATAACTCACGAACGACTTAAATGACGACAATCAATCAAACACATGTTAGCGCGTGAAATGAGCATTCCAGAAAGGTATAGCAGGACCGATGCGGCGAATAAAACTAGAGCTACGCGCTCTCAGCGCCAACTAGCGAAAATACCGCAAGACTTTTTTGACAATCCAATATTTGCTTTAAAATTAATTATATTCCGTAATCAATAGTCTAAAAAAGTTAACTGGGACTTAAATGATAGGCGCTAGTTGAGGTTAGGTTAAGTAAATAGCCAGATTTAAGGTATAGGAGCTAAGTTAACAAACTAGTCTTTAAGTCGTATCAATGTAACCAATAATTCACAGTTAATAACGAATCCATTATTAGTAGTATCTTCATGAAAAATTAAAGATTCAGTGTTAAAATATTAGATCTCGAGTTCCTCACTATACAAATACTTAGAGTACAATGCTTACACCAAAGCATCTTGAGAGATTACCTTTATTAAATATATAACAAAGATATACCAGAGAAGACAAAACGAATACAAATAAAAAGGAAAAAACCGCATTAATTGACATAAGATTTGATATGGCAACGCTATGCATGTCTGCTGAGGTGAAGGGTCAAATGAGAGCCTACTTTTTTCGGGGAATGAATGAATGAGATGCAAAGTATTTTAAGAGCATTGAGAGCTGTAAGGGAATTCGAAATTGAATGGCTTGCCAATACGAAATATTTGCAAACCTTTTGAGTAAAGCAACTCTGGTGTCGCTATAAGCCCTATATGAAAATTATTCCTTTTTAACAGTTTATGAAAGTTTCAAAATTTGTTTTACATTTTATAAGAATGTTTAATACTATTTTTGCAAGCCAAGACCTCGTCAATGTCTGCCTAAAAGCGCTTTACGCGGCATAACCAGCATTTATTTTGCACTAACGGTCTTCGGAGCTTCCAAAGCTCCACCAGTGTTTCCGACTGCTTGCGTGCTTGCCTGTCATTCGTGTCATTTGGATAAAAAATCGATTTCGTATCGTTTGTCACACTCCAACCTATGAGGAAATACTGGCCGATGTGCGCTTTCCATAGGATTTTCTATACTGTAGTACCTCAAAACGCGAATGAGCATCGACCGTGAACGTTGACGAGGAATAAATGCAGCGCTGAAGGTGAACACATATAGAGAGAAGAAAAATCCAAATTTTATATAAAATTATATTGAGGAGCTTACTTAGATTTTAAACAAATTAATGTTAAAATGGAAACCTTAATGTGAAAACTATTTGAAGTCAGTGAAAACTTGAAAATACCGCTAATAGAGAAGCTAAGCCGACGCTATTGAAGGCTGAGCCATTACAGGCAACTTTCATTGGTGCTAGAGAACGGAAAAATAATCGTTGTGTCGATAGTGAAAAAAGTGTGGGAGTGCGGAGGAGAAAGCAATTGATTGCTATACGTGCATATATATATATATACATATGTGTGTGTGTATATGCATATATTTTACGTGGTTGTCGATATAGTTCAAGTGTCAAGATAGAGTGCTAAAACTAAAAACTATTAACAAAGGCAAACTCAAATTCAAGTTAACAAAAATCTTAGCGCAAAATTACAAAAACAAAACTCAGCAGAGAAAACTCGGTCAGCGGACCTCGAAAATAGCGAACGGTCAACGAAATATGAATTTATTGATTTTCCGTAGGGGCAACATTGAACCAAAGAAAATATGCATGGCACACATTTATAGTTATAATTTCCTCTTCTAGTTTTATTTTGAGCATTTTTCTTTGCTGATATCAAGAAATTTCTGCGCACTTTGCGAGCAGTGTGAAATTTCTCCATATCATTTGTTATGTAATCGGAGGCAGCTCACAGCTTTTTTCGGTATTTGCTTCTACTACAAAGCCCTTCCAACTTAAGTCGAAAACGCTGCGCCAGAGTGAAGCTAAATTGTCGAACAACAAAACAACATAGCTCTACTCGCGTGAACAGCAAAACGCAGAAAGCAAAACAATTAAATAATTTTCATTGAATAACTGTTCCGCAGCGAAGTTGCAGGACAGCCATTAGGGAGGACGAGAAAAGAATTACAGCGTGAAACTTGCTAAAAATACGAGCAGCCACATCAAATCGGTCCATCAGCAGTGCCTGTCATTGTAAGAAAAAATCTCTATCCCGAAAGTCGCCCCAAAGTCGCTAAGCGAAAAGCTTACGTTACACTTACACACCCCCCCAAACACACACAAGCGCGCTATCAATGGGGAGAAGGAGAGCATAACTAACACTAGTACGTTTAGAGAACTGTCAGCTCCGTAGTATATGGCAGTTGTTGTTTTGTACTTTTATGCAATCTTCTCTCTCATTTACATGCACAAACCAGTACAAACGTTGATGCGTCTAAATGTCGACCATCAAATTACGACTTTTCTTTGTGTCTTCGGTCCATTGTGACATTAAGACAACGACCAACACACCCACCAAGTAGCAAACACTCACAAGCAACACACAGCTATACGAGGCCACGCGCAATTAGCTGATTGAGCACGCTCACATACACACACACACGCACACAACATTGAACTTTTAACATAGTTTTCGATTATTCGTAACTTTTTCCGTGGCACAAGCTCATTTCCACACAATTGAATAGCATCCTTCTTTTATCAAACCCACACTAATACTAATACATATTTTATTCCCACGCCTTCGCCTACTTCCCGCTCTGCTCCTCCATCGTTTACGCAGCGCTAACGGCATCATCATCACGGCAAAAAAAAAAAAACAATACCGAACTTCARCCAAGAACAACAAACAAACAAGCGAACCAACGAAAGCGCGTCGTCAGCAGCAGTAATAACGCTTGACACTGCTTGCCGCTCTGCTCTCTGCAGCTTTACGAAGCGACACGGATGCGTGCAAAATTGTTCGAGTGCTTCGTATTGATTTAACGTTGTTTGCTAAACGTAAAGCACACAGAAATACAAATAAAACAAAAGAAGCGCATAAGTAGAAAGTTATAATTAATATAATAATGATACAACAAATACAACCAGCAACTTTAATGCAGTAGAAAAGTGCTCTCAATACAAAAAAAAAAAACACAACTAAAGTTTCTCTCTCGTGTTTTTTGAGAGACAAAAGTAATAACAACGAATAGCACATCATCAGCTGAGTCGTGAAAGAACGTGGCGTAGAAACGGAAATCGAGACTATAATTCAAAAAATAAAACAAAAAGCAACAAATTAAAGACGCGACTTTCGCTGTCATTCTGCTGATACTCAACAGACCCGTTAAACAAATAAAAGGTGAGTAAAAACAAGAATTTCAGACTTTAATTTGCATCACGAATACACACTGTATGTCCTTTAAATAAATATTCTCCAACGGTTGGATTAATAAGGAATATGATTATATAATAGGAGCTTCACTAAATCAGGCGTTCAATTTAGTTTTCGGTATTTGAATTTACCTTAGCAGAAAAACAGTGGTAAGAAGTAATATATGTATTTTAACGTTACCCTCAGTAGAGTAGAGACTGCAAAAAATCTGTAGAGCACACCGCCGGAGTAACATTGGAGTATCTGCTGTGCATTTCTAGCACATTGGCAAGACTACTGTTGTCCCCACGGTAGCATTCACCGGAGGAGGTAACGATAGTGAGACAGTAGAGTCTGTTAAAATTCGCGTCAAGTGCAGGCAGCCTAAACGATGACTACTCTTTTTGGACTTTGAAACTGAAGTAAACTCTATCTGGTATCGCAAAGGACCAAACTGGTCTGAGACTAACCTAACGTTATCCTATGTACTGTTTCAGATTTTCAACTGATCATGTATACCATAAATCAATGGAAACTACAAAATTGCTGCCTACATACAGGCGCACTCACTGAAATTCATTATCGCTAAAGCAAAAAGCTGAAGAGCGTAACAGATAAATATTTTGCCAACACGAGATTCCACTCTGTGATAGTAATCAAAATAGTTTTAGCAAGTTAATGGACAGTTCTGCCTCTGTGGTACAGATGGTATGTAGAGCAATGGAAAAGCGAACGAGTTGACCCTTGTCCTTCCTGCCACGTTTTGTTATTTATTAGTTGGTTGCTTTATTAAAGAATACCGAAAGAACCTCCACGCAATCTTATGCTACCGCGTGGTTGTACATTCCTACGCCCTGGCTACCTAATTTATTTAAAATTAAAACATTGAAAGTTGTCAATCGGTTGAGAATTAGGCATTTAAATGGTGATCGTTCTCAGCGTTTTTTCCCCATCTTAATGATTTCACCGCTTTAATTTAGTGTGGATATGTAAGTGGAGTAAGTGAACTTAATGGGTTACATGGGTTTCCTCAGATAAAAAATAGCCTTTTTACAATAACTTTTCTCATATAAAAAATTTAATATTTTATTAGAACTCTTTAATGTTACAAACATACATTATTAACAAAGAAATTCATCCAAAGTGAAAAAATACGTGTTTCACTTAAAACCTTAACTTAGAACTTGGCCGAAGAATATAAACTGAAAATTGGGCTTTTGTCATCATTCGTCCAAGTCTTCAAAATTGTATCGGTGTGAAATTTCAAGGAGATTGATTTAAAGACGGCTAAAGCGCACAAGTTCTCAAAACTGTGTCTGCGAAGGTATTACTCGGATTGAACATGAAAATGTAGCACAATATTCTAGAGGTGTTGGTAGCTAGTCCAATCACACATTAAAAAAATCGACTTTTGGAAACCCGTAAACCCATGTATTCGCCTAACCATACCACATTAATCAGCATTCACTTTTTTTTCAAGAAAAAGCAATTTAGTCTGCCTAGCGTAGATACCTGAAAGTAATTTTGTATCACACGCTGTATTGGTGAATTTACTGCAATGGTACTTGCATTATAGCAGAAAGCTAGTTAACATGTTACCATCATTTTTTGAGTGCAATGCGATTTTAATATAACTTTGCCCTTTTCAGACTCTACATAAATCACTCCATTAGTAGGCTTTAAAGGTGGAATTTGTGTGGCGTGGTACATATTTTCTCTGTTATCGGTAACGTATGGCTTTACAAACGCTCCACATTTTGATGGCAATTTCTGTGGCAGAATTTCAATCTGAATTTAGGTTGAGTAACGCCACTGAAAGAAGTAGTAACTCGGTCGACCACTTAAAAAAGTATTCGAGCCAAGTACAAATATGTCTATACATATTAGAGACTTCAAGAAATTAAACAAAAAAATCTACAAATTTAAGGAAAAGAAAAAATAGAATGTTTGGGTGGAAAATGTGTTCGCCGCTGCGCTTTCGGAATGCGCTTTCGGAATGAGGTTTTTGTCTCTATTTGTTAGACAAACGATTATCCACGACAAATTCATGGTAAAAAATTTTGGAACTGCAAGATTGTTCTTCGTGTTTTATATCGACGCAAGCTCGCAAGCGTTGGTATTATTAATATAATCATAAAGAGATAATTATGGAAAATATTTTGATAAATACTAAAATCATTTGTGCAAATTTGAAATTGTTATTTGTGAAGCAAAACCTGCACTTACAATTTAAGAATACAAGTGCTTTCCAAAGTAAACAGGACTTTTTGAATCTAGCGGCAAACACTAGCATGACATTTCATATTTGAATTGGAAGTGAGGTTATTACGTTTTAAGTGTGAGTTTGTTTGTGTTATCAGTGCGAAAATAAGCTTCGAACAAAGAGCCAGCATTAAGTTTTGTTTTAAAATTGACAAAACTTTTACCGAAACATTTGAATTGATGAAACAAGTTTATGGCGATGATTATCTATCCCGTAGCAGAGTGCACGAGTGCTTTCAACGTCTTCAAAGGGGTCATGAGGACATAAATGACGATCAACATGTGAGCAAATCAAAATCCGTGATCACCGGAAATTCCTTCAAAACTGTGCGTGATTTCATCAAAAATCTGCAGAAATCATCATTGAAATTCATGGTAAGGGAATTAAACATCTCCAAAACCTCTCTTTATTGCATTTTGACCGAACATTTGGGCTTACGAAAGGTGTGTGCATGGATTGTTCCGCTCAAATTCCTTCCAAGAATCCTTCTCATCTATGGAAGATTATTTGACCAAAAATCACATTTTCGCCATTAACCACTCCCCGTATTCACCTGATATGGCACCGTGCGACTTCTTTCTTTTCGGAAAAATGCACTTGCCCGTGAAAGGAAAGCGTTATGCAGACGTAGAGGCCATTCAAAAGGCTTGCATCGGCATACTGACGGACATACCGGCCAACGAGCTAAAGCACTCGCTTGACATGCTTTTAAACCATGCAAAAAGCTGTAATGGAACAGAAGGAAATTGAATAAAATAAATTGATTTTGCCGAAAAACCATTTGTTCTGTTGTTTTTTTAAAGTCTTGTTTACTTTGGAAAGCTCCTTGTAAAATGTATGAAATTACGAAGAAGCTATTTCCAGCACTGTCTAAAAACGCACAACTCGTTAAACCTTTTAACGGTATAATTGCACAGTATGGCCTCATTTATAAGCATTATTTATTCTGACTCAATGAAAAAATACAGTGAATCCATATAAAGGTAGCATCCTTTATTACTTCACTTCCTTTTTTAACCATTTCATCCTTTCTATAAATACTTTGGCTGAATTTTTACACACTTTTCACTTGATTTTTTTTTCTTCTTTTTGAAAATTTGTATCAGTCCTTTCATGAAATCTGAGTGGTTGAGTGATTGCTGTCTGTAACCAAGATGAGCAATATTTGATTAAGATTCCAAAAATGCAGACACGTAGCGCCATCCAATAAGTACAAATATCTCCAAACAGCGAGTAAAGGCAAAAAATTGAAAATAAATTGAAAACGAAATTTGCATACGCCAATTTGTCGCGTTATTTGCTCGTTTGCTGCGTGAGCATTACGTCACGGACCACACTCCATGCTTAACGTTAGCATTGAAACGTGCCAAGACCTTTAAAGAAAAATTTCCCTTTTGCCAGCAACAAAACAAAGCAAGGGCTTCAAGCCATACAACATACTGACACACTTATAATATATACCAACATTTGGCAATATATATTTACCACATAATGTTGCCAAATCGCAGTTGCCTACTCTCTCCTTGCTTGGACAAAGGCAGCGTGGTGTCTACTCATAAAATCCTGAGCGACATTGATAGCATTAGCGCGTTGCGAGTCGCGTTGCTCGTCTCAGGCATAAGAAATAGTATCCCAATAAAGTACATTGGAGGCCTAAAAGCAGGTCGCAAGAAGGCGCACCACACGCAGCCAGCCAGCCAACCATTTATGTGGTTGTGGTTGTAATTTTTGTTGGCAATAAAAAATTTTAACGCTTTTATGTTCTTGCCCGCGGCCTGAATCTATTACCGAGTGCCTTTGTAGCAACGCTCTGCTCAATTCCTGTGCTCGCATAGTAATCAATAGCAATGAAGTACATACATACAGATTTACTATGCGTGGCGTATAGTTGTGCTCGTATGAGAAGACATTAGCCACTCTTCTTACCGCGCGTCTTGCGTTTGTTCTTTTGCCTCAAACCGATTCAAACTGCGAACTTTCATTCTTTATTTGTTACGAAATGCGACAAACAGTTTATCACGTCTTCTCTAACTACAGGCACACAATATTTCCCCCAATCCGCGTAGATTCACGCTCGTGTTCGGACCTTGAGATATTCGAATTTCTCAGACTTGAAGTATCAGTTCACAGAGAACGTGTCTTTCTCTTACAAATATGCTCTTTCTCTCCCGTAACGTCGTGCTCTCTCATTTTTATTCCATCCTTTTTATTCTCACTCTGATTTTTTATCATATTTGGCTGTATCCGTCCCTCTTCTTCGAAATTCTTAGCTACTTTCATGCACAAGTTTCTGCACTAAATGTTTTTATAGGGTGTACATATGTATATAGGCATATATTCAGAAAAAGTGAAGCTTTCGTTTTACGGCTACTATTTTAAACCTTTTGCCTGCAATGTAATATCCTCTTCCTGCGGAACCCACTTAATTTAAAGTAATTGTAGTTCTCAACCCTTGCAAAAAAAGTAAAACTACCCTCCGCATATTAAATTTGATTATTGTTAAATAGTATATAGCATAAATATTATTAAATAATTTATAACATAAATTTTGATGCAATCTTACCGTTAGCAATATTAATCAGAGCTTCAAGCCACTTATGAATTACTCCTTTTCCTGATTATTTTGTAATAAATTACCGCAAATCACGCAACAAAGCTCAAATTGAGTGATTTTTCTTCAAAACCATTTAATTGTGTAGCCATTATTTTAATTTATAAAACTTAT